CAGCTCAGCTCAGTTTGATCAAACAAAGATGTTGCAGATGTGTCTTGCTTTTCTCCTTCCTTCTTCACCAACTCGTCTTGTCATCGTTCCTTCTTTCTTCACCGACTCTTCGTGTCCACTCTGCTCTGCCACTAACGGCGCATTAAAACTTCAGAACTAAATATTGGGAAAGAGCTTTCGGCCATATTTTCAATTCATTGCATTCCCAACTCATCACAACCACGCGCTCTTCAGCCGAACCATACAGACACCAGCAAGGACACTTCCGTTGAGAGATAATATTGCTCCACGCCTCTAGACAGCTGTTTCGCTCCCTGTCGGGGCTCATCAGTAGAGGATGATAATGATGATAATGGAGGAATGATCATTCTTATACACCAGAAATGGCGCAAGTGCGCGCTTTCCACATAATAATTATATCAATGGCATTATGCAAGCTGCTAAAATGGTAAAGTGTGACTGTGTGACTATTGACAGGCGGACAGGTCGGTGTGAATCCTGAACGGCAACCGAGCCTGTCGCGTTGGGGGATCTCGGCGGTGAGTCTCACCTCGCCTGCATACATGGACATTGCAACATCATAATAATTGTATTGTATTTTATTATTTTACTTGGGCATTCCCAACAGACCCTAAGGTCTTCTTACAGGGTAATAAACAACATACATGTACTTTCCATTGGCATCAGTATTCCGCGTAAGATTTTCGTCGCCTGTGTGGTGTGTTTCTCCACCAATGACCGCGTACTATGATTATTTATAGCTGTTCTCACACTTTACCATTTTAGCAGCTTGCATATGCCATTGATATAATTATTATGTGGAAAGCGCGCACTTGCGCCATTTCTGGTGTATAAGAATGATCATTCCTCCATTATCATCATTATCATCCTCTACTGATGAGCTCCGACAGGGAGCGAAACAGCTGTCTAGAGGCGTGGAGCAATATTATCTCTCAACGGAAGTGTCCTTGCTGGTGTCTGTATGGTTCGGCTGAAGAGCGCGTGGTTGTGATGAGTTGGGAATGCAACTTTATTCACGAAGTCGGATTTCCCTGGCCAGAATTCTAGTACTTGTACTAATGTGTAGTATTAGCGAAACAGCTGTCTGAAGGAGTTTATCAATATCGTCTACGGAAGTGTCCTCGCAATGGTGATGGTTGTATGCAGGAGGGTCTAGTCGGCTAAGGAGCGCAGTGTGGTGGTGGAGGTGACTCAACATTTTCTTCAATGGCCGAGAGCTCTGTCGCACCCTGTAATAACTTGTAGTACTGTAATAACATTACCTAATCTCTGGACCGCTAGCTGTTTCGATCTTGTTAGGTCTCGGCAGCGGGGCTCAGAGTTACTGGCTGACCCGATCCGAATGAAGTCTAAAGAACAAGAAAGCAGTTAAAAAAAAAAGCCAGTTCAAGGCGTCAAAGTCAGTGTGATCCAACTGCGATAAACACAGCGAACTTTGTGCGATACGAGGGCAGGCATCTTGACGCTAACCAGAAAGATTGCCCAACCATCAGCAACCAAGCCCGGAGGCGAGGGAATTATTATAAGATAACCTAACTACGAACACACAATCAGCTCGCCACTCAGGAGTCAGGACGTTTTCGATAATGAAGGTCACTAGCTATACTATAGCCTCGCTAGGTACAACTACAAGGTAGATTTCACATGTGCCTGCCATGCCCGTGGACGTGGTCGATGCAAGGACAGGGGATGGCCATAATTATTATGATTCAGATCCCATCGATGATTCAGATTGCACTACATGTACACCGTTATGATTGCTGGCATACAATCATGTACTGAGACACAAGCCCGCCTGGTCAGTTACTCAGTTACTACATGTGCATGTACATGTATTAGACTTACCAGTACAATGTCATGTACATGACACGTACAGTCAACTTCGCTAATAACGACTGCGGATATAACGACAATTCGCGAATAACGACAACATAATCCATGCCCAGAGCAAAGTCCCTTCCAACTGTAGTACATAATTATAATGAGACTTCGGGTATAACGACACTTCGCGAATAAAGACACTTTTTTGATGCCCCGCCGAGTGTCGTTATAAGCGAAGTTGATTATAGTTACACAAAGGCGCCTAGGCACACCGTGAGCTCCTTGGGCAAATTCCGTTGTGACTCAGACGCAGAGTTTCATGGCTGAACCAGTCATCAGACAACCGTGAACGATAGTGGAATAGGAGGCAGCGCTGGTACACGTACATGTATATCTAACTTAGAGGGGAGAGAGGTGTGATAACAATAATGATAGCGGGAGGAGTAGCCACGTGAATGTATGCAGGGACAGGATACAGTAAAACCTGGTGTAAGCGACCTCTGGGTTTAGCGACCACCTGCTCTTAACGACCGTTTTTCCATGCACGGACAATTCTACACAGACACTGTGGGACCTGGTTCTAAAGACCTGGCTTTAACGACCGCTTTTGCTTGCACGGCAGGGTGGTCGCTTACACCAGGTTTTACTGTATTTTCAGAGTTTTTTTTAGTAGTATGGCATGACCACGATGGCACGTATGTGACTGTATTGACAGACAATGAGACATGTGGCACCACGGGCACCTAACCCCAGCAGTAGTGCAGACCAAGTGACACCGTTATCCTCATGATGATCAACTCTTTCTAGCTACTTGGACATGCAGGTGTGTGTTGTCTGTGCCCCGTGGCCTGCCTACAATTATCGATACCCCTATTGTGCACCAGCTCACGCAGGGAGGCGTAACTCGCTGCATGATGATCAACTCTTTCTAGCTACTTGGACATGCGTGTGCATGTTGTCTGTGCCCCGTGGCCATCGATACCCCTAGTACAAAAGTAGTGCACCAGCTCAAGGGAGGCGTAACTCGCTGCAGAGCTGCCGCCAGTGCCGGTCAGTGTGTAGGAGGCACACAGACCAATGGGCAATGGGCCTTATCCATCACGGCATCAGCATGCTGATGCAGTGTTATCATGGTTATAACTATTACTTATGGCCTGTTCAGGCCGTACAACTGCAAGTCAACAGACTTAGTAACTACAGTATACTAACTACTGTAGTAGTAGTGGTAGTGTCCAGTCGATGGACGTGTGCTGAATGGCTCAATGCCATCGACAATGTCAATGGGCCCATGGTCCTATCATACAAGCTACATGACTGACTGACTGTACATGGCTGTAGCGACATGGATGGAGTGACCTTTCACGGCTGTCAAAATGGCAAAACATCTACCTGCGCAGTGATGATGGCAGACATGGCATGGCATGGCATGGCATGCATGCATACAGTTCAACAGCAAGTGACAGAAAGACACAGCATGATACCATGGACACTACACGTACTGACGTAGTCTTGACAGACGGTACGGTGCACATCACGCAGACGGTGCGAAGGGTGAAGCGAGCTTTGTTTTCTTTCGCATAGCAGTGGCACTCGTACGAGTTCTCTCGCTTTTAACATCAATATTTCCGTGCCTGTCTTTTCTCCCCTCCCCATTCTCTTTCTGCGCTCTCCTCTTCTATCATATGTAAGTGTGAAGAAGGCACCGGCATTGCCTGTTTGGTTGAACGACTATAATATAAATAAAAGCACAGCAACAACAACAACAACAACAACAACAACCACCTTCATCTCTTATTGGCCACTGGCTATCGTGAGAATAAAGATTTGAAACCACCACAATTGGACAGGATTGCCTTTCTAAATACACCTGGGCTTATTGTCCGTTTGGTATTGCGAATTCAAATAAAAAAACAACAACCTGCACCAACACGTACATGTACGAGCGTACCATCCACAAGGAGCTTTCACAGTTTCAGGGCCAACATGATGTAGGGGGGGGGGGGGGGGGGGGAGCTTATTTTGCTCTTGCTTCCATTTGTAGTTACTAGTACTTTGTAGCCACTGTAGGACCATCGCGTTGCGCGTGTGCGGCTCGTACGAGTCGCACCATTGTTATGTCTGCCGTATACGCGTACCATATCCTCCATATCCACGCCCACAGCGTGGCGCACAAAGCCTAAAAAAGGTTTACACCGCGTACCGGCGCAACTAACGGTTCGGAACAGCTGGCCTTTTGTAGGCCGGCTAGCCGGCTCGAGGCCAGTGAGGGCCTACAACTGTCCTAGTACACTACTGTCACTAGCACACTACTAACTAATACTATTAGTTAGTATTTCCAAGTGTCCATAAACAGACGGTATTTCTTGTATTAGTTAGTACTTAAAACTAAGACGTAGTTGTAGTGTATACATGTTGGGTACTACCAAGAGCCCATAAACAGTTTTTATGGACTCTTGCCCAGACGGGCCAGAGTCTTGGTACTACTATTGTCGTATTGTCACTATTGACGTATTGTCTTGAGTACTACGAGTACTAGGGTAGGCAGCCAGATACACATCTGCGTGTGTGTGACTTGGGTGAATGATGTAGCTGCACCACAAACAGCTAGCTAGCTGTCGAGATCCAGATCATAATCAGTACAGACAGTAGTGCATGCAGTAGATGTCAAGATTTGCGCATGCACGTGCACTTCACCCACGTGTTCGACGATACGGTCGGTACGCGCGCGCCTGGCCTTGTACTAGTTGTAGTGGTACTTTTTGTGCATGATCATGTATGCGTATATGTGCGTGACGTGATAGCTATTGTAGGTGCATGCGGTGCCCCCGTGCTGGCCGATTTTAGCCGAATCCTCGGGTACACGGCTGCGACTTGGTTAAAATCTATCTCAGAGGATCAGGAGCGCACGCATCACGTGCACGTGCACGCATATGAGTTCACCGAGTTGAGTGTTAGCAGGGCTGGTTTAGACAAAAATCCTCTGAAAATGTGCCGTGTACACCAGATCAAACCCGCACGGGATTTTGTCAATCAATGAACGCTGTCATGTCAAGTCACAAAAATGGAAAAATGCCATGTGTACATCAACAATACAACATCGTACGAGCCGGTGAGTAGTCTGCAGATGTGTAGTGTGCCCATAAGAACAAAATACAATTCAAACAAAGGGGCAAGGTCATTTCCAAATCATTTCACGTGTGTGGTTGTCGGAGTGAGGTTGGAGTATTTTTCAGTGTTCTATGCGGAGAGGTTCTTACTGCTCCTCGCGCAGCAAGGATGTCGGCCAAAGCCGTGCGTGAGGTTGATGGCAAGAGCATCTTGGCTCGCCACCTGCCGACTGCTCTTGGAGAGCGCTCGTCCTGTCTGTCTCAGTGCAGATGCGTTGCTGTCAAGTCGGACACCGACTTGAGCGCCCTGTCGCGGTCCGCAGGAGAGAGCTGGCTGGCTAACACGGTGAGTCTGCCCACGATCTTCCCTCTTCTCTAACCCCCTGCGGCGCAACCGGCACTCTTTCCCCATTCCGACTGCCATTAATTTTTGTTTTCGCTAATTGTAATTCATTATTATTGTATTCTGATGATGGCAAGTTGCCGAAACGTCAAAATAATACGGTAAACCAGGAGTTGTGAATTTGCAGTGTCCAGGGAATGAGCATGATTGTGTGCTCGCCATTCCGGTAAACCTGTACTTTAGCGCCCCCAATCATACCCTTCCTCTTTCAGTTATGAAGCTGCAGGATGCCTCACCCCGGTTGCGTTTGTAATTCATTGATTTGAAAATAAGAAAATTCGGTAATGATTATTTTATTTTATTTATACGCTTGTCCGCGTTGACATCACCAAATGAACAAAAGAAATGAGGAACGAGCGAGGCCAATGAGGTGAACACACACATGCAACTGCAGAATAGGCGAAAGAAATATGCATGTAATAAAAAAATAAAAAGTAAATTATCGTGTCCGTTCCCGAAGGGAACTCACGACGGCCGCTAACACCCGGTAAGCCCTAGCGTAATAAGACGGTCGTAAAACACACACGAAATGTCAACTATTTACTTCAACAAATAAAACTGGAAACGGATGAATACAGGAATCATGACAGCTTACGACGGTACATAGTGGCAAAGCGACATAACACCAGTATACTGTACATGATCTTACAATTCTGCTTATGAACTACAGCCAAGAACTATGTAGTCTAAAACTAAACAACATGGGTAAACCATGTTCACATGCAGTGACAATTTGAAAAAAAGGTTCGAACGTTCAGGAAAAGACATTACTTGTATGACACATTCATTGGCAGGACGAACAAGGCAAACTCAAATTCGGTAATACCGGTAAAAATCTGTTTGTACCCCTTGTGCTCTGCTTGTTTTCTTGGACTTCTTCCTCATATTCCTATTTCCGGTTGTACTGAATAGAACGTAACCATACTTTACCTTTTCGGCGACGTTGCGGTGAAAATAGTACTGTCAGACCTCGCGTATTACACCGCACACCTCCCTATTTCCACGAAAAAATCCGGATAGGCGAGGAACCGGATAATCGAACACACACACTGCAAGAATGCATGGCATATGCTGTACATCGGTAGCCAACGATTTTCTTCCGGATGGCGAGGGATCCGGATAAAAGAGGATCAGATAAGTGAGGTCTACCTGGATAAATACACACGTACTAACTAGTACAATCACTATCACCCCACGCACTCCTATTAAGGAGCTAGCTTACCCAGATCTGCTATGGAGTCCATAGTTGGAACCCTCAGCCTTCTACAGGAAATGATTTGGTGCGTTCATACTTCAAAGAAGTGTATCCACTCATTGCCTTGCAGTGTTCTCGTTCCACTGCGTGTGTGTGTGTGTGTGTGTGTGTGTGTGCGTGCGTGCGTGCGTGCGTGCGTGTGTGTGTGTGTGTGTGTGTGTGTGTGTGTGTGTGTGTGTGTGGTGAGCCCATAAGTGGGATCATTTCAAGTCCACCCTAGTTTGGGGATTTCAGGGGGTGTCGGCCGTTGGGTGGTTCAATGGCCAATTGAGTCATCTTTCCAAGATTCCTTTTGAGTCTCTCTCCCCTCTCCCGGGGAGACCCACGTGACCAGTTTTGGCAGTGAGCAAGTACAAGTGTGTGTGTGTGTGTGTGTGTGTGTGTGTGCGTGTGTGTGTGTGTGTGTGTGCGTGCGTGCGTGTGTGCGCGTGTGTGTGTGCGTGCGTGCATGCGTGTGTGTGTGTGTGTGTGTGTGTGTGTGTTTATGTGCGTACGTACGTGTGTATGCGAACAGTGAGAGTGGGGGACTGGTTGTATTTCACAAGACATCGACGTATATGGAAGCTAGTACGGTGTACAATGCATACCGCGTAGAGGAGCAGCATAGTCCTTATATGTCAATGGTCGTGTACTACATAATACAAGCGGCCTACCCCTAGGCCCTATAAGGCCGATTCACAATACAACTGTTTGCGACGCCACATGCGACTTGCGACACCTGCGACGAGCTGCAACAACGCGTTTTAACGACACACGGCTCGCAATCTTTTTGCTTTTTGCGACGTCCTTCTGCACTAGTAGTACCATGCACGTGCACTTAACGTGCATCCAAGGTAGGAACTGTACTCCATTTGCGTACGTCGCTCGTCGCATGTCCTCCTAGTTACCTTTTCATTTTCCTTCTCCTTCTCCTTCTTTTCTTTCTATTTCTATTTCTTTACGTTCCTCAGCAGTGGTTGGCTTTCACCCCCTCCCCTTTACTTGGCAATTGCATGCCATAGGGCGTGGAATTAATAAATTAATAAAATGTCGCAAAAGTTGAACTTTCTTCAACTTCTGCGACAGGTGCATTGCGACTGTACGCGACAGCTCGCGACGAGTCACTTTCTTGTCGTCGCCCGCCGCGAATCGCGTGTCGCGTCGCGCGCAACAAGTTGTATTGTGAATCGGCCTTACCGGTAACCCCTTATAAACGAAGAGTGCCTATCCGATCAGGGGCGTCGGACACGGTACAGTCACTACAAATAAGTCTACCTTTGGAAACGGACACGCTAATTTACTTAATTTGCTTGTGACGGTCTGCGATGTGTTTGTATGTACAGGAACTTGTGGCAAAGCCGGATCAATTGATCAAGCGTCGCGGTAAGCTGGGACTGATCAAGGTAAAGGCAAGCCTGGACGAGGCGGATGGCTGGATTCGCGAACGTATGGGCAAGCAAGTCACGGTACGTTCTTTCGCCAGGTCACCCGGTGTACCTCATACATATACTGTGTGATGACAAGTCGCGCACCTGGTCTTTGAGACGTGCATGGGGTCACCGATTTAGGGTTTTACGTCGGGCCCTAGACGACGGCTACTTTGGCCAACCGGCCGTCAAAGAAGTTGAGACTGAAGAGAATGATTTTATTTCCTGCGCATGCGTATGTAGAATGACGTAATACTCAGTGAGTCAGGTCGCTACACATGCACACTTGTGCGTGTGTTCACATACCACGCTTACCGGTGGCTGATGCTGCGCTGCTTCTTTGTGCACTGTTCGCAGGTTGGAGAGACCACCGGAACGCTGAACACGTTCATTGTGGAGCCATTCGTCGCACACTCTCAGGTAGGTTGAATTTCTGAGTGACGACATTCTACTTGTCTGGCACCGAGTGACCAACTAGACCATCTGATGCCACACATTGCCAATGTGTGAGAGGGAGAGAGTTGGAGACCGGGTGGGGGAGGGTTATAACCAAACTTGTTTTGGTTTCTTGAAAAAAATTGCCCAGATCACCGAGTTCTTGATTCCCGGGTGGTGGTGTGTGTGTGTGTGTGTGTGTGTGTGTGTGTGTGTGTGTGTGTGTGTGTGTGTGTGTGTGTGTGTTTATTCATATTATACCCTTGCTCATCCCCTCCGTCACCCTCTCATCTACCTGCACAGGATGAAGAGGTGTATGTGTGTATACACTCAACGCGATCATGTGACACGATATTATTTCATCACGAAGGCGGTGTGGACATCGGTGATGTTGACGCCAAGGTATGGTTTTACGGTTTTACTGCAACGGACATGTGGCAACACACACGTTGCTGCTACGGCTTCTTCTTATGCTGTTGCTGCTACTGCTGCTGTTGCTGCTGCTTCTTATGTTGTTGCTGCTGCTGCTGCTTCTTATGCTGTTGCTGCTGCTGCTGCTGCTGCTGTCCTTGCTAATGTTGCTGCTGCTGTTGTCGCTGCTTCTGCTGCTCCTGTTGCTGCTGCTGCTGCTTCTCATGCAGTCGCTGCTGCCGCTTGTTTTTGGCTTCAGTATGAATGGCCGGGGAGAATTCTGAATCTTGACAAGGATTGGGATGGGCACTGGAAAAGTGCAAGACTCCGCGGGGCGTACTCTTATGCTTAGCTTGCTGTGGGCTCGGCCGGTTGACGGCAACGCGGCCTCACCGCACACCTACTGCCCCGACACGCACGCACACTCACACACACCCAACATACTTTCAAGCACCCCTGCTCCGTCTTACTCCCTGTGCTGTTCCTCTGCTTTGTCCAGGCGAAGAAACTCGACGTTCCCGTGGGAACCACGCCAAGCAGGGAGAGTCTAGAGCAGCTCACCGCAGCAGCACCTTCCTCCATACACGGGTAAGTGATAGTTTGGAAAGCCGAACAAACATGAAAAGGACAGTTTGGTTGCTGACAATTATCCTGGTTTACAGAGCCGCAACCAGTTATATTTTCCATGACACAACAATGAGAAAAGCAAAGACAATTTATTATACAAAAAAAAGTAAAGTTTGCACGTCCGCGTTACAAACGGCTATACAATTGCGTAGAGAAACACAACCAGCTTAGGAAGTTTTGCTCGTGCCAGGCCACCACCATGCCTGTGATACCAGGGTGGCAGATGCAGCGCCTAACGGCGAGGGTGAGGTGGTAAGTCTCACAACCAATGCCCGACAAGGGGGCTAAACTCGTTAGCTGCATCCATGTTACCCTCACTCCGAGTAGTGAGTACCCAGTTGACCGTGGGTGTCGGCGCAGTTCACTGCATGTAAAGTGGTTCACGCATGTATCACCGCATTTGCTAGCACAGAACACGCTCCCTGCTCCCAGCGCGGGGCTCGTATGCAACTCACTCGAAAACTAAGCACACTGCGAAATGTCTATTCAATATGCGCTTCCACCACTGCAAGTGTGGGCAAATTACCTGCGATGGTGAACATTATGTTGCATTGTTTCTTTAGGAGCTGCGTCTCCGCCTTGACCCCTGGGGGGGGGGGGGGGGGACTTTTCTACGGACGTGAAAACTCAGTCTAAGCAAATCTCGCGCGAGCCGTGATTCTTGTCTCCACATGCGTGCTGTGCTTGCAGTCTAGATAGCATGCGTGTGCGTGTGTGCATGTGCGAGCGTTCTTGTTTCATTTCTCTGGTCGCTCAGCTTCAGTTTCACGTTCATGTGTCTTTGTGTTTGCTGCGTTCATATTGTTCTTCTTCTTGTTCTTGTTTCCAGCCTTCTATTGCGTTCTTATCATTCTTCTTATTGTTCTTGTTTCCAGCCTGCTAGTTGATTTCATCGTAGCTCTATACAAGGTCTATGTGGATCTGTACTTCACCTATCTGGAGATCAATCCGCTTGGTGAGTAGTTATTTGGCGAGAAATTACTACCGCATGTCACACAAGACTCGGCGTAGTAACGTGACAGTGATGTCAAGTGAAGTCCGACCCCTGAAACGATACAATACTGTCGGGGCGCCGAAGAACGGAGTGCCGAAGAACGGGCAGGCTAGAATTTCACAAAGCACAGCATACCAATGTATACACGATGACTCAACCGCACGTAGACTGTAGTACGTGAAAGTAAGAACGGAAGGAAGTTGATGGGTTTTGGCAACACTGCTTCTGCTGCTGTGTATGTCTACGTGTGTGTGTGTGTGTGTGTGTGTGTGTGTGTGTGTGTGCGTGCGTGCATGCATGCGTGTGTGCATGCGCCTATGTGCACATGTGTGTCTGTGTGTTCACGTATACAGTCATACACGACGGCCTAGTGTACATTCTGGATCTAGCGGCAAAACTCGACGCCACGGCGGAATATCTCTGCAAGGCCACGTGGGGCGATGTGGCTTATCCACCGCCATTTGGACGTGACGCCTACCCAGAGGTACGTCCTTGTATCTATGGGTCATGTGATGTCGGCCATGTTGTTGGTTCCACTGTTCACAATCCACATGCCTTTGTATCTATTCTATGAGTCATGTCACGTGATGTCGGCCATGCCTTTGTATCTATGGGTCATGTGATGTCGGCCATGCCTTTGCATCTATGAGTCATGTGATGTCGGCCATCTTGTTGGTTCCACTGTTCACTATCCACATGCCTTTTTATCTATGAGTCGTGTGATGTCGGCCATCTTGTTGGCTCCACTGTTCACAATCCACATGCCTTTGTATCTAAGAGTCATGTGATGTCGGCCATCTTGTTGGCTCCACTGTTCACGATCCACATGCCTTTGTATCTATGAGTCATGTGATGTCGGCCATCTTGTTGGCTCCACTGTTCACGATCCACATGCCTTTGTATCTATGAGTCATGTGATGTCGGCCATCTTGTTGGCTCCACTGTTCACGATCCACATGCCTTTGTATCTATTTCTTATTTGTAGTTTTCAGACGAGTCGTAGGTCCCCTCGACTTTGGTCACTACTTGAGATTCATTTACGAGCTTTGCGATGTGATTTGGAAAAAACTCATGACATTTTTTGCGGTGTGTGTGTGTTCGCGCGTGTGTGTGTGTGTGTGTGTGTGTGTGTGTGTGTGCGTCTGTGTCCGTACTGCTCACGTGTGTTACATGAACTTCTGTCTGTCCCACCGTGGATACACACAGGAGGCGTACATTGCCGACATGGATGCCAAGAGCGGCGCGTCGCTCAAACTGACGGTTCTCAATCCGCAAGGCCGCGTCTGGACCATGGTTGCTGGAGGTGGTGCCTCAGTGATTTACAGGTACGGGCAAGATCAGACAGGGGCATAGCTGGTCCCCCCTTTTTTAGGGGTGCATGGCCGCATATGTGTACGATGACTGGCGTATGTAATTCATGGTCATTATGTGCATGCCGAACCTTTTTTAATTGTGTAGGGGGGGGGGGGGGGGAGGGGGGTGCACGTGCCCCCCCCCCCCCCCCTCCCCCCTACGTGCCCCATGCGGGCTACCCGCCTGAAGATGGCGTTCTCTTTTCTTTGCCAGATTTTTGTGATGTTTCATTGCACTGTATTCCACTCATTCCACAGTTCTCTGTGCGTCGACGACCGGGCATCACTGTTTCAAGGAATCGGCTCTCGACTGTCGTTGCGTTTCTAATTTTTCCACTGGGGTTTGTTGTTTTCTCTCTTCCATTCAGCGATACAATCTGCGACCTGGGATTCTGTGATCAGCTGGCTAACTATGGCGAGTACTCTGGCGCTCCAAGCGAGTCGCAGACGTTTGAGTACGCCAAGACCATCCTCTCTCTCATGACCAAGGAGAAGGACGATCGTGGTAAGTAGCTCTGACTTTTCAAGCTAAATTAAACGCTAGACGAATGTCGATTTGTACAGGTTTTCAACATGTCCTATGGTCCATGGACTGCACTTTCAACCTGCAAAAAACATCCTCTGAGAATTCTGGATAGCTAATGCGTGTGATGTGTGTGTCTGTCTGTCTGTGCCTGTGTGTGTGTGTGTGTGTCTGCGTGCATGTGTGCCCGTATTTCTCTGCAGGAAAAGTGTTGATCATTGGCGGCGGAATTGCCAACTTCACAAACGTTGCCGCTACGTTCAAGGTGAGAACGCGCCAGCGGTGATTGCTTACTTCTCCGTGTCGTAGTACTCGCACCTAAGCCCTTGGTGTAAATGTTGCACAGAGCCACGTGCGTATGGCTAGGCGCCAACCCAATCTTGAACTTTTGTTGGTTTGTTTGAAGTTTTATTTTACATCGCAAACCAAACGGGCATTGATGCCCAATATTATGATGGCGATAGAATAAAAAGTGTGGCTAGATAAAGCTTCACTTGCGAAAATGAGAAAACAGTCAAAAGGAAGTATTTGTACCGGTAATTACAAGTCAAGTTCGAACGAAGTAACAATCAGGGAGGGGTTTTCTCTCCTCACTACCGGTACTACCGGTATTGTCGAGGGAAAGTTGCAAGTGGGAAAAGTCTGAAGAAGACGAAAATTACTGTCACCGCCAGGACTCGAACCAGGGACCTTCGCTTATGACCAGGGATTCTCTACCACTAAGCTATTCACTCACTCACTCACTCACTCTCATTCTCACTCACTCACTCTCACTCGGTCTTCCGTTCCATCTCCTTCCCTTGTTCTTGCTCTGATCTTTTTCTCACTCCCTCACTGACTCATTTACTCTATCTCTCCTTCTCCCCTGTCTGTGTGTCTCTCTCAGGGTATCGTGCGTGCACTACAGCAATACCAGCAAGCACTGCTGGAGCACAAAGTGAAGATATTCATACGGCGCGGCGGCCCAAACTACCAGGAAGGACTGCGCGTGATCAGCGAATGCGGTCAGTCCTGCATGCTTATTCTAGTAACAGGTTGAACTGCCGATGATTCATGTTTTAGTGAGGGTACCCCGTAGTAGAAGTACTTGCGAATCAGCGTTTCTTGTATCTTTATTGGGAAGTCCTGTTACGAGATAAGCCACGTTATAAGATAACATATTGACACAATCGCCTGGCAGCTAGCTCTTTTGACCTTGTTAGGGCTCGTTGGCGGAGCTCAGGTTACCGGTGAACCAATCACAAAGAGGTCTACTGAACAACAAAGCTTTTTTTGAATAGGCTCAAAGTGTCAAAGTGAGATAAAACAGCCAGCTTTGCACGATAAGGTAAATTGGATGGCCCAGAGATTAGCAGATTACAGTCAATTTTGCGTATAACGACACTCGGCGGGGCATCAAAAAATGTCCTTATTCGCGAAATGTCCTTATAACTTACCTGAAGTCCCATTATATGTATACTGTTAGATTGGACTTTGCTCTGGGCATGGAAATTCTGTCGCTATTCGCGAATTGTCGTTATATCCGCAGTCGTTGTTAGCGAACTTGACTGTGCCTGCTAATTAAGGAGAACTTGTGTGTGTATGTTTGACACCAGTGCACACATCACTGTATTGATGAGCAGCTCTGGCATCACCGTAGTAACATGTCACATGACACTGCTTCACTGTTCAATTTTGTTGGTGTCTTAGGAGGCAAGCTGGGTCTGGACATGTACGTGTTTGGACCGGAAACTCACATGACTTCTATCGTGTCCATGGCGCTGGATAAAATCCCAATCCCACGCGGCCCGTCCCCAGAAGGGGTAAGTCGTTGTCCGAAGGTGTGTGTGTGTGTGTATTTGTGTGTGTGTGTATGTGTGTGCGTGCGTGCGTGTCAATATCATGATATGAACGACCATTGTTATGTACATGTGTGGATGGGGGCATGTGGGTAGATGTAAACATGTGCGTGTATATTTATCTGTTACGGCCGATCTAATTTGAAAACCTCTCTCTCTCTCACCCACTCTCTCTCTCTCTCTCCTCTCACCCTCTCTCTCTGTCTGTCTCTCTCTCTCTCTCTCTCTCTCTCTCTCTCTCTCTCTCTCTCTCTCTCTCTCTCTCTCTCTCTCTCTCTCTCTCTCTCTCTCTCTCTCTCTCTCTCTCTCTCTCTCTCTCTCTCACCCTCTCTCTCTCTCTCTCTCTCTCTCTCTCTCTCTCTCTCTCTCTCTCTCTCTCTCTCTCTCTATCTCTCTCTCTCTCTCTCTCTCTCTCTCTCTCTCTCTCTCTCTCTCTCTCTCTCTCTCTCTCTCTCTTTATCTATCTCTCTCTCACTGCCAGGGTAACGATGACGCATTCGCGGGCAATGCCGGCGTTGCGAGCGCTTGGAGCAGCCCTGGACTTCAGCGAGCATCATCAATCGCATCGGAGCCGGGCACATCGGAAGCAAGCTCTGCCTCAGCCACTGACAGCACTGCAGCATCAGCTGAATTGGCGGCGTCAACAGCCCCATCCCCTACCTCTCTGTTCACAGCTAAGACCAGAGCAGTGGTGTGGGGAATGCAGATACGCGCAGTCCAGGTTAGTCTCATTGCACTGGTATCCCTTTGACGTGCAATCATTGATTTACATGTACACTGCTCGTTCTTTCACTGTATCTTTTGTACAGAATCTCTCTTTTTCCGAACTCATTTTGCACATTTTCTCGTTTTCCCAACTCCAATGTTCATTGTATTACACGAATAGGAGATCCCCCCGATAGGCGTCAGCCTTTGGGTAATCCTGAAAATAAAGATTAATTTAATTATTTATTATTACTACTGCCTGTACTCATGTGTACAGTCAACTTTGCGTATAACGGCACTCGGCAGGTAATCAGAAAAAGTGTCCTTCTTCGCGAAGTGTCCTCGTACCCGAAGTCTCATTATACGTATTACAGTTGGATGGGACTTTGCTCTGGGCATGGGAATTCTGTCGTTATTCGCGAATTGTCGTTATACCCGCAGTCGTCATTAGCGAAGCTGACTGTGCTACAGTCTATGCACAGTCGAGTCACCGTGTATACATTGGTGTGCTGCGCTTGGTGAAATCCCAGACTGTTTGTTCTCCGGCGCTCCGTTCTTTGACATCCGACAGCAGCACTGTATGTTCACAGATTCTGCACACTCTGAACTCACCCATTGCGCAATGACGTAATCTGTACCATAAACACCCTTCACAGCCACCTGGGCATGGTCGTCTGGGGTGTTGACCGGTGCATTCCTGATCCCAGTGTACTCACATAACACCGCACACAGCCACCTGGGCATTGTCGTCTGCGGGTGTTGAACAGTGCATTCCTGATCCCAGTGTACTCACATAACACCGCACACAGCCACCTGGGCATGGTCGTCTGGGGTGTTGAACAGTACATTGCTGATCCCAGTGTACTCTCATAACACCCCACACAGCCACCTGGGCATGGTCGTCTGCGGGTGTTGGACAGTGCATTCCTGATCCCAGCGTACTCACAAGCATTACTCATACATTCCATATTCGGCAATGGGTCAATTGGCCATGTCTTTGCTCTCCAGGGTATGCTGGATTTCGACTTCTCCTGCAGTCGTTCACAACCATCTGTGGCCGCCATGGTCTACCCGTTCACGTACGTTCCAGTGCTTGCAAGCGTGTACATGTTTGTATGTGTGTGTGTGGGGGGGGGGGGGGGGGGGGGGGATGTACGTGTGTGGGGGTGGGGAGGGGGATGTATGTGTGTGTGGGGGGGGGGGGGGGGGGTCCGCGTGTGTGAGGGCACATGTGTGTGTGGGGGGGGGGGGGGGGGGGTCACACTGTCAAAACACACTACCTGTGTTACAAAGTCAGAGCTTTGCATAGCTCTGCTATTGTTACCACCGTGGACGGGGACCATGTCGTGGAGCACCATACCCAGGATCTTGGTTATTATGGGGTGGATGTGGACAGAACGAGCAGCACAGGGTGCACCAAAGTTGCGGGGAGGACCACACGGCATAGCGTAATCGTGATGGGGAGTCGGATGACCAGACTCAACAGGAGCAGTTTCCAATTTCTCGACTGCCAAACAGGGACGAGTGAACACGCCGGGTTCATTCGAATTGGAAGGCTGACTACAGGAGCTAGCCTTGAAAGAACCTGACCCTGGATTGCGCTCATCGCACGGGAAGTGTCATAATTGTTTTTGCGGCCTTTATGGGGTTCACTGTTGAAAGTGCTATCAGAGGCAGACAGGCGAGTTTCTAGCTTCTCCACTGCCACACAGAGATGGGTGAGCGTATCGGGTTCATTAGTGTACTGCTGTGTACGGGAGTTGCTATTACCCTTAGAACCTGACCCAGTTGCACGCTCATCGCGTACAGAAGACACAGCTGTACTGTACGGATCACTACGCTCATGTCTGGCAGAGGCAACTGGAAAGGAATGGGCTTCCGAATAAAGAGCCCGACGAAGTGCATCGTGCATGGTCCTAGGTTGGCTGTTCGTAACCCTTGCACGAAGTGACTCGCCGAGCCTGGATAAATGACTCCATAGCATAATCAATAAAGAAAGTAGCTGACCTGCATGACTTGGACGAGACGAGGTTGACATAGAAGAGACGAGGTTGGAGATGAGACGAGGTTGGCGACGAGACGAGACTGGCGGCGAGACGAATGCCGGGCGGTAGAGGACGAGGGTCGTCGGTTCCGAGCAATGGTCGGGCGCCAATGTTGAGTCCGAAGAAGGACGACATTGCGTGACAACACCGCGCGACGACACAGCACGACGACACAGCTCCACGACGAATACGGACAGGGGTGACGAATAAACAAGGACAGTCCAGGGGTGACGAATAAACAAGGACAGTCCAGCAGTGACGGGAGCAACGCTACACGTAAATCACATCTCAGGGTCGTGAGCTGCGGAGGCAGAACTCCGCGTCGAGTAAAGTTGGGCGCCAATGTTAGAACAGGCCTCCGAGTAACGAGTGTAAAACGTTAGTTTCCTTAGCATAGTCCTAGCATAGTCATCTCTCTCCAGTTCTCCTGCTCTGAGGTAAGCCTTGGCTGTCAACAGACGAATGTCATCGGCTAAAGTCTACAACGATTCCCCATGTTGGCGGCGTTTGGTACGTACCTGGGTTCTACGAACATACTGGGCTTCGGCTGGCATGTATCTTTCAGTGAGGATCTTTGGAAGGATGTGATACTGCCCACATTCTACCACGGTTATACTTAGTAATGGTGACAAATCCCTGGTTTATGGTTATTCATTTACTTGCCCGTCAGTCTGACCCAATTCCAAAGGCACCAAGTAGTTGGGAGACGGAATGTATTCTTCTTAATATTGGACAATTATAGGCGGACAGGACGAGGAAAGATTATCAAGTGACTAGCATTAGACCAAGGATTCGACTGCAACTCCCAAGACTCTGGCAAGTCTCATTATATTATGTGAAATGCTACAATAAATGTACGGTGCAATGCATGAGCGCGCCCAATTAGTTGGCGCGCATATTATGTGTATATAGCCCGGCTATGTACACTAGAAAGGGATGTAATTAGATCAAATGTACGGTGGTTTATAGTAACTATAAACCACCGTACATTAGTGACACTAGTTTACAGTGGAGTTTACGAGCAGTATCCTCAACCTTCGCCTCCAGATCAGCAATAAACGGGTTATGGGAGATGGCACTCGAATCACCCAAACCACGGCCAAGGGGAGCTTCGCGGACCCTATCAGCAGCGAAGGCAGTACCACGCTGGGGACCCGGACACTCATTGTCTCTAGTTGGGAGGGAGACATCTGGCTTACCACTAGGATTGAACTTCGTCTCCTCAGCATAATGAAGTTTCGGTGTCGGTATATCATCAGGTGCATACGGGACGTCAGAACAAGCCTCAGAGTACCGAGTGTAAAATGTTGCTTCCTTAGGTGGAGCCGGAGAAGAAGAATCACGAGATGAAATAAACGCATCGGGTGAGCCTGATGTTTCCCCTCGGGTTCTAATCGGGGCTGGACGGACAGGCCGAGCCAGTGGGGTGGTGTCATCCCATCCATTAGCATCACAAGCATTATCGAAATCCAACGAAAATGCCTCAAAATCCTCATTCTCCTTGCCTGAGAAAGGACGGGGCATGATGCAAGTAGATTGAGTGGCCAAACTCGGCGTCGACATTGTCTGAAGAACAAAATGCCCTCCAGAAGGAGAGCGGACGGGAGTTCAACCCTAACTTGGCTTGATGCTGTTGACAGATGCGTCGACTCTGCTCCTGTCTAACAGGTTCAGGGAAGATGTGAGCCGTGTGTATTATTATTAATATTTATTGAGTGGCCAGAATAATTTTTTTCCAAAACCAATTATGGAAGACCGAACAGGTTTTAGGAACTGTTCGCTGACTACATACTAGGTATTCTATGCAAGACAGCAAGGCTGATAAGTCTGATGCACCCGGAACACCACAAAAGGACACCAATTAACACAAAAGGGAAAACGAACAAGAACGCCACCGCGGCTAGAAACACTTATGGCTAAAACGATATGCAAACTTATCCAAGTTACTCACGCGGGGAATTGAAAGCCTCCGGTAATATTCATTAGGTAGAGTCGGTAGAGCGGGGGTGGGTTGCGGAAAAGCCGAAGCTGGGCCCCAATGTTATCTAGTTAAGTATACATGTACCGTAATTCTCCGATTGTAAGGCGCACTCAATTATAAGTCACACCCCCACTTTGAGGTTCGAACCACATTGTTTCAATACATGCATATAAGTAGGATGTCACACTCGATTGTAAGTCGCTCTCCCTTCTTTGCCCTTGAAGTTTAGTGTAAAAAGGTGCGACTTATATTCGGGGAAATACGGTATATTCACTATATTGCCCGTATTGGTAGTCTTATTCACAGACACAATACACCGATTGGGTGGATTATAGCCGTTACAGTGAAACCTCGTTAAGAAGAACACTGATAAGACAAAATTTCGCTTAAGAAGAACTAGAATTCAAGCGCTATTGGACTCATCACTGTGTATTCACTGGGTAAGACATAATATGGATAAGAAGAACTCCCGTTATTGCGAACAAATACCGCCGGTCCCTTGGTGTTCGTCCTAAAGAGGTTCGACTGTATATTCAACAGGCAACATGAGTCGGAGCAAGAGTAAAAAAAGGCTAAATGGACTGGACTGGACTCAAAGACTAAAACCTGACTGCGACAACCCTGGGGCAGGAGTAGACTGAAGACTTCCAGGAGGAAATGAGGGGGGTATTTATTTCGGGCGGGTACTTATTTTACGGACTTTTGCCGTAAATAAATAACTAGCCACTCTACAGTCTACACAAAACAGTAAAGCCAAGAGTACATGAAAACCAGAGTGTGCAGCTCGGATGGGTGGCTGTCACGGCGGAATTCCGTGATTACATCATTTTCGTGATGTAGTGCGTACAAGCAGGATTCAAGCAGGTCTCTTTCTGCACAACTGCAGCTCAGTTGTACGCACTACGCCATTGCCCGCCTCAGATCTGCGCCAAATATGATGTAATCACGGAATTCCGCCGTGACGGACACCCATAGCAGAAAAGGTCCCAAGCTGCACACTCTGGTTTTCATGTACTCTTGGTAAAGCTGATAGGTCTTATGCACCTGGAAAACCGCAACACTTCAGACTATTCCCGCTTGCATCTTGTCCCTCAAAACCAATGAAAACCAGAAAAAGGGACACCTGTGACCAAATCAGGGAAAACGAACAGGCAGACAACTGCGGCTAGAATCACCTATGACAATGTAGATACACAAACTGATCTATAATACCGTAAAGTACCGTTGATCCGCCCCCCATGCCATGTCGCTTCCCAGCTGGTTTTTCGGCAGGGGGCGGGAATTAGATCAAGGCTGTCAAGTGCAGTACGATGTACAACAACTTGGAGGATCAGACTCGATGTGCTAAATTGTGCACATTTTCATCCTGGATTGGCACATATTGTGTACAGCAGTGCAAGCGTCGGTTCAACATCGTATTTCGTTGTATATGCCGAAATCGCTTCGCAGGTAGAAAATCGGCAGGGGGCGGATCAACGGTACTTAAATCTTTACGGTACTAACGCGGGGGAATTAAAAGGTGGGAAGATTCATGTAGAAGAATTAGTCGGTAATGTTGGTAGTGATTGATAGAGGAGGATTTGTAGAGCAGGGTCATCACAAAGTTGCGCGCCCATCTGATGTATTCACACTCTCACTCCGAGCCACATGTACAACTTTCAAAGATGTTGGACGGTTGACAACAAGAAGAAGAACCAACTCGAAGAACAACTAACCAACTCTAGAACTCGGGAAGCAGAATGTTGTCCCAGAAGGGAAATCGGGCTACATTTAGTTGAATGTTATTATTATTAACTGGTTTGATATTATTATTATTATTATTTTGCTTGTTCGCGTTGGCATCAACCTGCATAAAGCAGGTATATAGCCTTCGCTTAAGAAAGCTCATCCTAAGCGAGAGGGCTAGAGGAAAAGATAACGATAACGAGATACAGAATACAAAGAAATCCAATGAGTTCAACATACAGTTAAAAAAAGATTGAATGTACTGTATGTAAATATTGCATGCAGGGGACTCCGAGGAGAAGTGGTATGTAATATTTATGATCATGCAGGGGAATGCCCCGGGTACGGTATACGGTATGTTATGGCTGTGGCTTGCTGTTCCACAACACTGCTTCAAAGTACTTCGGAGTACCTTTATTTATTTCGGACTGTCTGTTCCCATAGCAACGGAAGTTATTCATTGATGTCATTGTTGTTTGTGGCGTTTTTTCTCCAATAGTGGCAATCATCGTCAAAAGTTCTATTGGGGAGCCAAGGAGGTTTTCATTCCCGGTGAGTGTTTGGCATGCGTGTGTGTGTATGTGTGTGCGTGCGTGTGTGCGTGTGTGTGCGTGTGTGTGTGTGTGTGTGTGTATGTGTAGTTTACTGCAGAAGGTGGCCGTTACCTATCATCCTTCATGCATCCAAACCTCTTCCGTCTCTGCACGTTCTTGCTCCATGTTTGGTCTGGCTATTTTTACCACTGTATCACCTTCCGTACTTGTGGCATGGCACATGGGTAGCATGGATGCGGAAAATGGGATTTTGACCTTTGACGCCTGGTTGGTGGATCTGAGCTATCCTCCCCCACCGTTTAGCACCTGCATCCGACGCCTGATCATGGGGTGGTGACGTCCCATGAACGCGGAAAGGTGGTTCTTTACTCACCCTGCGCGCAGATCCGTGATTTTTTTGTAATTGCACTTGGTAGCTGTGATGTATTTGGACTATTGTTCTGTTTTGCTTGTCCAGTTTACGGGAAAATGGCAGAAGCGATGGAGAAGCATCCGGATATCGATACGATGATCAGTTTTGCATCACTGCGTTCGGCGTACGAAAGCACTATGGAGGTCCTGGAGTTCCCTCAGGTACTGGCCGTGTGTGTGTGTGTGTGTGTGTGTGTGTGCGTGTGCGTGTGTGTGCGTGTGTGTGTGTGTGTGTGCACGTGTGTGTGTGTGTGTGTGTGTGTGTGTGTGTGTGCGCGCGTGTGTGTGTGTGTGCGCGCGCACACGTGTGTGTGTGCGCGTGCGCCCGGGTACGTGCCCGTTTGTGTGCATTAAAAAGAATACACTTTTCACACTAATAATTATACAAGTACGTGCAAGTCGAAAGCACCTCACGAACGTCATGAAATTCTGTTCGTTGCTGCTGCTGCTGCTGCTGCTGTTTCACTTCCACCACACACCTTATTGTATCCTTGCACTGTTCACCTTTGCCTGTGCAGATTCGCAGTGTGTCCATCATTGCCGAGGGCATCCCTGAGAACCTGACGCGCAAGATGATCGTGGCCGCCAGCAAGAAGAACGTCGCTATCATCGGCCCCGCAACGGTATGTGTCGAGAACTATAGCGGATAATTGGCAGACTAATTTTGGTACATAGGCCAGTGCTGTTTCAAATCGTGATTTCAACGAACGATTACCGGTAAAAACCTCACACATATCTCGTGACGGTCATGCGATGGGCCAAACATGTTGATCTTCAGTCCACTTGTTCGCAATGCGACGCATTTCCCGTTCGTGAATTGAACTATGAACCAGGTTTTAGCCGCTCAAAATTGAGTGTCGCGTGAAAGGTGAATTTTTTAAATTTTTAGTGGAGCATGGAAATTGCATGTAAGTGGACGCTCTGGTGTATGTGTACACCCGTTTGTGTGTTCGTCTGTGTGTGTGTGTGTGTGTGTGTGTGTGTGTGTGTGTGTGTGTGTGCACGTGTGCATGCCTGCGTGTGTACGTGTTTGTCCATTAGGTCGGAGGTATCAAGCCGGGATGTTTCAAGATTGGAAACACCGGCGGAATGCTCGACAACATCCTCAACTCCAAACTCTACCGGCCTGGCAGGTATGTGCAACATCATGCCAACATGTGTTACAGGAAGAGTGGTACATAGCCTATCCCCTACCACCACCACCCCTCCCCCAGAAGAGTACATAACCACAATCCCCTCCCTCAATTTCGGATTTTGTATTCACAAAGTGAAGACAGATTTTATGTGGTATTCGAGTAGATGCTGGCCGAACGTTTTTTTTGGAAACCAGAGGTCTATACTTTTGATACGCACTATAACCGTTTGCCCTGCTCTCTGTGTTTGTTCGCTGTGCTTTGCTCGCAGTGTTGCGTACGTGTCTCGTTCCGGCGGTATGTCCAATGAGCTGAACAACATCATCTCTCGAAACACGGACGGAGTGTTTGAAGGCGTCGCCATCGGTGGAGACCGTTACCCGGGCACCACGTTTCTCTATCATCTGCTGCGTTTCCATGACGAACCCGGAGTTCAGCTTATCGTCATGCTTGGAGAGGTAAGTGTTCACCCATGATGGCCGTGTTTTCCGGAGTATTCACCGCACTTAAAACACCAGTAATTCACCGCAAAACAGTCGATGCGGCTTAGACTACGATGGTCAACATAATGGTGGTACATCGGATAGATATCTGCATACTATGCACAGTGTTACAGAAATCTGGCTGTGGGTTATACTCCGGAAAGTACGATACTCTGAGGCTATTCTCGTACAGAGGTTACCTGCCCGGAGTGTGTGGGCTTCTCACGATTGCGCATTGGGTAAGGATCATAATGCATGTTTTAACTCTGTGTGCGCACGTGCGGGCGTGTGTGTGTGTATCTGTATGTCTGTCTGCCCGCATGTCTATCTACATGGCGGTGAGTGTGTTCGTCTGCTTGTCCGTCTGTCCGTCTATATTATGTGTGCGTGTGTGTGCGTGTGTGTGTGCATGTGTATGTCGCCGTACCAGGTTGGTGGCGTTGAGGAGTACGAGGTGATTGAGGCCATGAAGGATGGACGCATCACTAAACCGCTTGTTTCCTGGTGTATCGGTACATGCGGCAGCTTCTTCTCCTCCGAAGTAAGTACACCATATTTTCCAGAATACAGGTCGTCCCCCGTTAATACGAGTCCGGTTAGTACATAAACCCCGTTAGTACATAAGAAATCTCAAGTCCCGGACGAAACGTGGTCACTTCCATACAAATTTTGTCGGTTAGTACATAATTCGTTAGTACATAAACCCCGTTAGTACATAACATTTCTCCGTACCCGCATGCCACCTACCTCAATAGTACATAATTTGTTGGTCTTTTGGCCTTCCAGTGGAGGCACGTCGTGTTTTAGTTTCTACTTGTGGACGCAATTATCTCAGAAATCAGAGCGCACATCACAAACCGACAAAGCCCTGTTTTTTTCCGAGTGACTGTACAGGCGCGGCTGGGCATGTATCATGTAAACTGTAGAATCTTCGCTGACTGTGACCGTTATAACATAATTGTTATGTTATATCGAGGGAATCAAGAATATCTCGCTCCCTAGTCATGGCAGCAAGAAACACTTAGAAAAGTTGAAAAAAGTGCAAAATTCTGGTATACAAGCAAGTTATGTACACTTTCGTTTAGTACATAAACCCCGTTAATACATAACATTTGTCAATTCCCAGAGATTATGTATTAACGAGGGAGGACCTGTATAAGTCGACCTTTTAAGACCTAAAGACTGATCTAAAAAAGGGGTAGGTGACTTACAATCGGGATTTAGCTGCCATTAGAGATCCTTAGCAAAAGTACGATAAAGCTAACTTTTACCGTACGCACCACCAGCCGTGACAAAAGACGTTATCGGGTAACGGAAAAACGTTACAGAGCTCAAAATAACGGGCCGACGTTCGTTATGGTAATTCTGCAAAAAATGCATTGTTTTGTAACTGGCGGGAGATAAAAAGCACGTGCAGATGGAGATCAGAGTCGTGATTGCTTCCTCTTATGACTTTTAGCTTTTTGTGGCGTTCTGCCTTTCTGTGGACAATGTCTGTGTCATTTGCTTCGTGCCTTTCACCCTCTATCCCATCTGGGAAACAAAGGACCGGTTCCGCAGCACTCTTGACGAAGAAATTCACCGGCGTCTCCCCAGACGTGCTGGAGCAGGAGAACCCTTACAGTCGTCCATCTAATGTGCAAATTTTGGGGAAATCTGACAATAGGTTCTCTTTGGAAAACTATTTTTGAATGGGATTACGCCAAATTTCAAGATTGTAATGTTGGAAATTATGTCAGAAAAATATTTTTGGGATTAATTTTCTGTAGCCTTGTTCTACTGTGCATTGTCCATCATCTAATGTGCGAATTCTGTGGAAATCTGACAATAGGTTCTCTTTTGAAAAATATGTTTGTATCGAAAATACGCCAAATATTCGCTTTTTCGAAATCGCCTACCCCCCCCCCCCCCCACCACACACACAGTGAGAGTCCAAAAACATAATATTATTTACCCTTATTCTCTAACGTTAGTATCTCTGCCTAGCAAATTTCAGATCTATAGCTCAATTATTGGCCAAGTTATTACGTGAATCTTGTCCGCATGTGTTGCAAAAGAAGGATCCACGAGCGTGATTCGAACCCAGCACCCCTGCCTTTCCGGGACAGTGCGCTACCGGGATCACACAAACTCATGGGTCCTTCTTGCTACACTGCTCCCCTGCCCCAACAGGCTGTGTCCTCACGCCGTACCTACTCGCGCGGGTACGATGGGTCGTGGGTTTGAGCCATTGCCAGGCGCCAATGTTGCAAAAGAAGGATCCACGAGCGAGATTCGTACCCAGCACCCCTGTATTTCCGGGGCAGTGCCCTACCGATTAGGTTACCGGGGACCACACACTCATGGGTCCTTCTTGCTACACTGCTTCCCCGCCCCAACAGGCTGTGGGGCTTGATGGCCAATGCGTTGGCGTGCCACACGATCAATGGCATGGCAGCGAGCCTGAGCGACGTAGGCAGCCGATCTGGTGCAGTCATCCTGCCAAGGAACGAACACCAATCCCCAAACAAGAGAATGATACGAATTCACCCGCTGAATAAGAAAGAAGCGATAGAGACAAACTTAAGCTTGGGTACTTACGCAGGGAAATGAAACGGCGGAAGATTCATACGGGCAGTCGGGCAGTCAGTACAGTCGGTAGAGCACTTCAGGGTCGTGGGTCGCTGTGTAGCCAAAGCCGGGCGCCAATGTAGTCAAAGAAGGACTACGACTACTACTGCGCTGCGCTGCGGCGGTGACCCGTGGAAAGGGTGCTGAACACAGGGAACGAACAAACAGCAAACAACAAGGAAACCAGTGACAGCAATTAATGGGTTGGACTCCACAGAGGACGAACACTCTGCCGGAGACAGCGAGAGCGAGCACTCAGCTGAAGAGGAATAGCTAAATGTGACAAACGGGCACTCCAACAGCGAGGACGAACACTCGGCTGAAGATCGGCATGGCAAGATTGGCATTGCAGCGAGCCTGAGCGACGTAGTGTTATCAAAGGTTTTGTTATGGGTTCACACACGACCACCAGAGATACCAGTTTATTATAGTTAAGAGTCGTATATTTCACGGGACGAGGACAGATTATTGACACCAGCATTAGGGAAAGGATTCGACTGACTAGCATTAGGGCAAGGATTCGACTGACTAGCATTAGGGCAAGGATTCGACTACTGGCTAGATTATGGAAAGTTTGGTTATATTATGTGAACTACAATAAAATATACGGTGCAATGCATGCAATGGTAATGGAGTGTGTATGAACCATGCCGGGGTCGAGATCCAAATATGGGATGCGTATAACAGTAGGTGGCCGATCTGGCATTGTCATCCTGCCAAGGAACGAACACCAATCCCCAAACAAGAATTTATAGCTCAGGCGGCTGTCCGCAAATGTATCTATGATACAAGTGAGCCCATAAAAGCAGTGGGGCTGGGGGAGGTTCACAGGGCCAAGGATTCGCTTTAATCTATTCCTGTGGACAGTCATGATGGTGATGCGCTGGGATGAATGGACGCCAAGCCGCTTAATGGTGTAAACTAGGGGGGAATGAACAACAGAAACTTGCCACGGGCCATCCCAATACCGGAACAATTTAGGGCTGTCGCCAGCTGTCTTACCTTCAAAGCATCGGCATTTGCTTTGAGATCATATTGGTTTTAGCACGACGGCGGCCAACATCCAAATGTTCCCGGACTAACCTATAGGCGGCGGTCAGCCGATCCCTCAACCGTACAGCATAGGATATGTGGGTGATGGAGCTGGGAAGGGTATATGCGGATGGGCAGATCATAGTGACAGGGGCAGACCGGCCTCCCTCCCGAACAACAGAAAGAATGGGGTAGAACGAGTGGAATTGTGTTCACTCGTATTGTAGGCTAATTGGACCAGTGGCAACCGTTCATCCCAATGTTGCCAAATCCCTGGTGGTGTATGGTTTGAGGTTATTCTTTGCCCCTCAGATTAACACACTTCCAGAGGCACCAAGTAGTTGGGAGACGGATACTTAATATTGGACAAGACGAGGAAAGATTATCCAGTGACCAGCATTAGACCAAGGGTTCGACTACTTCTACTAGACTCTGGGAAGTCTCGTTATATTATGTGAAATACTACAATAAATATGTACGGTGCAATGCATGAGCGCGCCCAATTAGTTGGCGCGCATATTATGTGTATAGCCCGACTATGTACACTATAAAGGGATGTAATTAGATCAAATGTACGGTGGTTTATGTGCAGGGGCAGAAGGAGGGAAAACGGGCTACAAATGTGTATGGTACTAATTATTGCATGCAGGGGCAGCGGGGAAATGGGTCAAATATGGAGGTCATGATGTGTGTACGATGTACCGGTACTGCATGGGGGTGAGTACGGGTTTATAGGGGACATGTACAACACCAAGAATCACAATCAGCTGAATCAATACAAGCACAGAGCATAACCTGAATGGTGCAGTCGGTAGAGCATGAGACTCTTAATATCAGGGTCGTGGGTTCGAGCCCCACGCTGGGCGCCACTGTTGTAAAAGAAGGATCCACGAGCGGGATTCGAACCCAGCACCCCTCCCTGTCTTTCCGGGACAGTGCCCTACCGATTAGGCTACCAGGGATCACACACACTCATGGGTCCTTCTTGCTACACATGTTAAACAATGTGAAAAAGTGGGTTTAGGAAAGGGGCCGAAAAACCGCATTCAGGGTTCAAGATTGGCACTTTGAAGTTAGCACTGTTTAGTCAATAGTCTACAGCACCTAGGTATTAAGGGCGTTTAGCAATGCGAAAGTTCGAAAGAAAATTCGAGTCCGGGAATGAGTACAGAAACAAAGCTCGAAACTTCGAAAACTTGGACGCGAAGTTGCAGTGATTTGCGAAAGTATTCAACTTTCTCTTTTCTTGGTACGCATTTGACTACAGGGAGTAGTAATTTTACAGCCCCCTGCTTGAGACTGAGCTGCATTATACGGTACGATAATATAAGATTCAAATAACTTCGAGAAAAAGTCATTTCGGATTGCTAAACTTTGCAAAGGTTTCCTTTTTTGAAATAGATTTTCGCGAAATATCACCACCACCAATAGTTCGAATTTTCGCGTTATTAAACGTCCTTATTACCAAATTTTGGTCAAGATCTGACAAAAAGTGATTTTGGAGCCAAAGTGTCCCGAACTACCTTAAACCGGGAAATTGAGGTCCCAAGTATGAGACTTCGACTTATAACCAGTCACTACTCTCGATGCTACAACGTGCGTGTGTGTGCGTGTGTGTGTGTGCGCGCGCGCGTGCGTGTGTGCATGCATCTGTTTGTGTGTGTGCGTGCCTGTGCCTGTGTGTGTGTGTGTGTGTGTGTGTGTGTGTGTGTGTGCGTGCATCTGTTTGTGTGTGTGCGTGCCTGTGTGTGTGTTTGTGCGTGCGTGCGTGTGTGTGCGTGTGCGTGCACGCACATGTGTGCACACTTTACCCGTCATTCTCTCAGGTTCAATTTGGCCATGCCGGTTCCAGTGCGAACTCCACCAAGGAAACAGCAGCGGCTAAGAACAAGGTACAGTTTGACGTACATAACATAATGATCGTATAGTAGGATCCATACTAATAATTATGGTTGCGTGCTGCAAACCTCTAATTTCAGACCACCTGCCACTAAAGGCCGCTTTTTCTGAGTTTCTTAGTTACAACTTACTGTAGAGGCAGAAAATTTCGTCCCAACTCCAAAGAAAGGGAGTTCGTCCGGTTGAAAATTTCGTCCATGGATCATAAGAGTGTAAAGAAAAGCTGGACAAATCGACATTCGTCCAGGATTTAATTTAGTCCAAAAGTTCCTTTGACGAAAAAGACGAAATTAAATTCCAGACGAATAGTTCTGCTTATACAGTACATGTTTTACTGTAGATGTCAAATCACTCTATAATACAGTTATTATTATTATTATTCTCGTATCCGTCCCGAATGGGACTCACGACGGCAGAATTAACTGTGAGCATGTGTGTGTGAGAGTGGGAGAACGAAATGAAAAAGAAAAGAAGAGTCTTGTAATAAAGGTCAAATTTGGTCGGAACCATGGAAGACGAAAATAAATAAACGTTGAATGAATGAAAGAATGAATGCGTCGATAATGCCGATAGACTAAGTTGGTGTTATTCCTAGCTTACCAGAGAGGCAAAGAAAGGAACACTCTAGGCAGTCAACCCAGAGTCCACGCTACCCGACGAGCCAGGAGCTCAAAAATGAGCAACCGGCCGCCAGGAGCACACCAACACACAATATAAACAGTGGTCCCTCTATAATCCGGCAGCATTTGTGCCACGGAAATCTGGTGAATTAGGGAGGGTGCTGGATTAGGGAGGGTGCTGGATTAGGGAGGGTGCTGGATTAGGGAGGGTGCTGGATTAGGGAGGGTGCTGGATTAGGGAGGGTGCTGGATTAGGGAGGGTGCTGGATTAAGGAGGGTGCTGGATTAAGGAGGGTGCTGGATTAGGGAGGGTGCTGGATTAAGGAGGGTGCTGGATTAGGGAGGGTGCTGGATTAGGGAGGGTGCTGGATTAGGGAGGGTGCTGGATTAGAGAGGGTGCTGGATTAGGGAGGGTGCTGGATTAGGGAGGGTGCTGGATTAGGGAGGGTGCTGGATTAGGGAGGGTGCTGGATTAAGGAGGGTGCTGGATTAGGGAGGGTGCTGGGTTAAGGAGGGTGCTGGATTAGGGAGGGTGCTGGATTAGGGAGGGTGCTGGATTAGGGAGGGTGCTGGATTAGGGACGGTGCTGGATTAACAAATCGGATTTACTGCTGCAATGTGCATGAAGAGGAGGACATTTTGGCTACTGAAAATTGTGCTGGTTTATAAAGTGCTGGATTAGAGAGGGACGACCGTATGCACTCTCTGCTGCTGCGTATGTCCTGAATGTGGCGATGTGGAAAATCCCTTGGTCAACCAATGAAATGTAGCCTATTGTGGTTGAGTTTTTCTTGCTTTCCTGCGCCATTTTTAGATTTAGAATGAAACTTTCTCGTCTCTTGTGTACTTTTGTTTGTGCAGGCCCTTCGCGAGGCTGGTGCACATGTGCCGTCGAGTTTTGAAGATCTTGGCATCACGATACAGTAAGCTTGTCCGTTTTCGTTTTGTCATGTTAGGCTGGTGTTTTGCCTGTGTTGGGTGTCGGCTTGTTAGCTTTGTCGGCTGTTTTGGTGGTGTCGGCTGTGCTGTTTTTGGCGAGTGTGTGTTGGGTTCGTAGTGTCTTTGGGGCTTCAAGCTTGTGTGTGTGTGCGTGTGCGTGTGTGTGCGTGTGTGTGTGTGTGTGTGTGTGTGTGCCCATGTGTGTGCCCATGTGTGTTCCCATTTGCGTTCATGTCTGTCTGTGTGTTCGTGAGCGTAGAAAGACGTTTGAGCATCTGAAGGTGGACGGCAAGATTCCCGTCCGGCCCACGGTCACACCGCAGCGCGTACCAATGGACTACACGTGGGCTCAGGAGCTCGGTCTTATTCGCAAGCCAGCTTCGTTCATGAGCAGTATCTCGGACGAGCGCGGTCAGGAACTCTCCTACGGCGGTATGCCCATCAGCCATGTCTTCAAGGTACAGTCAGTCTAACCAGCCATGTACAGTCAACTTTGCGTATAACGACACTCAGCGGGGCATCAGAAAAGTGTTCTTATTCGCGGAGTGTCTCGTTATGTATTACAGTTAGATGGGACTTCGCTCTGGGCATGGAACGTCTGTCGTTATTCGCGAAGTGTCGTTATATCCGCAGTCGTTATTAGCAAAGTTGACTGTACTGTTGTTTGTACACAGAAAGGGGTTGGCCGGGAGGGAGGGGAAGGGTGCGGGGGGTAGAATATATTCTATTGTCTAGGGGTGAAACAGAGCTGGCTTCCTTTGGCAAGTGTTTAGTCTGTTTGTTTACAACACCTGTGCTTTCAGGGTTTTTTGGGGGGGGGGGGGTTCAATGTGTGAAAATGAGCAGAGCATGCAGAAAACTCTGCGTTGAGATCAACTCAATCTGTTCACAGAGTTGTTTCGTCCTTTGTGGACTCGTCAGCACAGCACAGGGAAAATGAGGCCGAACCTGAGTTCAGATATGCAGTACATCATAATACCTTTTTGTTTCACCAGACTTTCGTTTATGTTTGTTTGTGTACGGCTTTGGCAGGAGGATCTTGGCGTCGGAGGAGTGCTGAGTCTGCTGTGGTTTCAACGCCGGTAAGTGTCCAGCATCGCCACTTGAACATTCTGATTTCTCTTGCTCTATGGTCGGCCTGTGTGTCTCTGCTGTCGGTCGTGACGACATGGAAAACCTGCAAACCAGACTGTTTCATTGCTTTGAAACAAACTGGCACGGTAGAGGGTGCTTTTGACTCCGCAGCATGCTCGCAAAGCCTGATGTTGATTGGCTGTCTCCATGGTTACAATCATGTGACACTATGTCGCTGGGGTCCATTGCAGTTTGTATCCCTCTCAACTCTGGGCCTTACTTTCTCTACTTGCTCTGTTGTGGATTCTCCGATTCCAATCCACTCGCAAGTGGACGGAGAAGTTTCAGCGTCGCAAGTTCTTCTTTTGCTTATACGAAGTCTGTGTGTGTGTGTGTGTGTGTGTGTGTGTGTGTGTGTGTGTGTGTGTGTGTGTGTGTGTGTGTGTGTGTGTGTGTGTGTGTGTGTGTGTGTGTGTGTGTGTGTGTGTGTGTGTGTGTGTGTGTGTGTGTGTGTGTGTGTGTGTGTGTGTTAATGCTTACGCTGCATTTGTGTGCACCTAGGTTGCCGGAATACGCTTTGAAGTACATTGAGATGTGCCTTATGATCACCGCAGATCACGGGCCAGGTAGGGCATACTTTTCTCTACAAGTGTGTCTGCGTGTCTGTGTGCATGTATATGTGTGCGAGCGTGCTGTGTGTGTGTGGGGGGGGGGGGGGGGGCATGCATGTTTGCGTGTGTATGCGCTTATGTAAAAGAACGATATAAGGGAGCAAAGACCAAAGGTAGGGATTTAATGGTTGGGGAAAAACGCTTCGAGAAGCAGACTGTTGGGGAAAAACGCATCGGTGTAGGCCAGGCTAAATAATGCTTGTCAATTCTTGAGTCTGGCACGCTGTTGAATGGTGTAGTCCCAGTACATTGTAAATTGACCAGTTACTGCTCTTCTTCCTGTTGTGGCATTTGCATCATAGCCCGGAGGTGACGGCCGTCCAAGATGAACCATGTGTGAAGTTCCAAATGGTGTATGTTCGTACGTGTACGTGTGTGTGCCTACGTGCGCTTCTATGTTTACTTCTCATTGTCTAGCTGTGTCCGGTGCGCATAACACCATTGTGACAGCGCGTGCTGGCAAGGATCTTATTTCCTCGGTGACCTCTGGTCTACTCACCATTGTACGTTGATCATACTGTCCAGCCTCGGTCTCTCTCTCTCTCTCTCTCACTCTCTCTCTCTCTCTCTCTCTCTCTCTCTCTCTCTCTCTCTCTCTCTCTCTCTCTCTCTCTCTCTCTCTCTCTCTCTCTCTCTCTCCTACTCATGTCATGGGAGAACATTTGGCAATTTGACATTTTCATTTTGACAATTTCAATTTCCTGTGGGGTTGTCTTACAATATTGTTCTTCTTATTTTTTTCTCTAGTCTGTATACATACTGTATACGTTTTCTCTAGCCGGCAATGTATACATACTGTTTGACATTTCTGGATATGCAAATACAGTCAAACCTCTTTAGGACGAACACCAAGGGACCGATGGTATTTGTTCGTAATAACGGGAGTTCTTCTTATCCGTATGTTATACCCAGTGAATACATAGTGATTTATCCAATAGAGCTATGAACACTAGTTCTTCTAAAGCGAAAGTTTGCCTTATCAGTGTTCTTCTTAACGAGGTTTCACTGTGCGCCACTGTAGCCATTCATTGTAACCAAATATCCTTAGAACACGGTTTTAAAACGCTCTCTTAGCTACGCCAAGCAATGGAATAAGATGAGGCCTATCTATCTCCAAGAATGCGCTCTGCTTTTTCGGCAGTGAAGAGCAACACACTGAACTTGACCAGAAGGCACATTGTCATTCTTGTAGGGGTGTCGGACACGGTACGGTCACTACGGCATTGATCATACTACTCTTTGCCCCAGGTACACCGTGAATCAATTATAATGCACCAATGTGGACGCTAAATTTCCAAATTTCAGCCCCCCCCCCCCCCCAGGAGTAAATTGTACTTCAGGTGGCTGACCATACCACACTAAAATACCTCCTGACACCCCTGTTCTTGTCTCTGTATTTGTGTTTGCACATTTCAGGGTGATCGTTTTGGTGGTGCTCTCGACGACTCTGCCAAGCTGTTCTCCGAAGCCTACGACAGCAATCAGTTGCCGATGGAGTTTGTCAACTCCATGCGCCGACAGCACAAACTCATTCCCGGAATTGGACATCGCGTCAAGTCTGTAAGCACACCTGCCCATGCAAACATCGAATCTTTCTTCCTTTTTCAAGATGACCACGATTTTTTTGGGTGGGTGGGTGGGGGGGGGGGGTAGGGACTGTTTCGTTGTAGTTGTCTGCATAGTGCAGTCAAGCTATTGGCGCTGCTGCAAGGAGGTGGTCTTCTGAATTGGTGGTTTGGTGGCAGGGTCGATGCTGCTTGCCCTGCTGCTGCTGCTGCTCATGTTGTTGCGCTTCAGTGATGATGGTTTTGTAAAACAGAGAGGTTCCAGGCTGTCCAAGAGAGTGCTCAATACCGAGAGGCAGAGCTGGTTCAAACAATAAGAGGACGGAAACAAGTTTAGATTTGCACCATGATGCAGTCATTTACGCTTTGCACTGCTTTTAGATTTGTGCCATGAGCCATAAACACTTTTCTTTGAGGGTATGTAAACTAGTACTGATCCAGATGGTTTGTATGGCCAATGCATCCGGTCACGACTGATGTGGCGGGCTCCTTATTTTTTATTTGCGCATTTGTTTTTGTTAAAAAAAATTCACGCGAACCGTGAATTTTTTTTGTTTTTAAGAATCTTGACCATGATTGCTTTTGTGTCGCCATCTCCTGTGCAGCTGAACAACCCTGATCAACGTGTGGTGATCCTGCGTGACTTTGCGCTAGCCAACTTCCCAGCCACGCCACTTATGTCTTATGCGTTGGAGGTGGAGAAGATTACGACAGCCAAGGTAAGGAGAGCTGAAATGAAATAATTTTGTCTTTTATTATGCCCTGTAGGTTGAAGTTCAAAAGTGCCGAGTCACGGTGCGAGTATATAAACCAGAGTGTGCCGCTCTGGGAGAATCATTTCACTGCAAAGTTGTGTTTGTGTAGGTCATAGGTGTTACGGGTTTTCTATGATTCATGATAACGTTGGCCATCAACTTAGCCGTGGGATCGGTTTTGTGCGGCATAGATGCGGGGCTGCACGCTTCTGTTTGTGTAGTCTTGGTGGTAGAGGTTGCCACGTGTGGTGACGACAGGAAGAACACGCACTGGTTGATACAATGTAGAATCCACCGTGTGTGGTATTGATGAGGTGTTGTAACTCGTGTGCACGCTCTTGTGCTTGATCTTGCTTTGTTCGGCAGAAACCCAACCTGATTCTGAATGTCGATGGCGTGATTGCCACGTCGTTCGTGGACCTTCTGCGCAACTGTGGCGCTTTCTCACGGTGAGCAGTGTGTGTGGGTGTGGGGGGGGGGGGGGGTGCATGAGTGTGGTGAGGTGGAGAGGCTTTCTGCAGCTTTGTTCATAGTTAGTAGTTCAGAGCAGACCCGCTCGTTCGCAAGCCTGATGAGGGCAATTCTGCCGAATTGTTACAAGAATTGATAAACCGAGTTCGATACTAGCAGAGTGAGAGAGCGGGTCTACGCTCAACTACCGTAATGTCGCGTATTAAAAGCCGTGCTTATCCCTGTAGAAGACTATTATCCGGACTAGGCTTCTATTCACATCAGGCTTCTATTCAAACCAGATATTTCTATGTATGTCAACACTAAAATCAGGCCCATGTGCCAACAGCGTACTTGAAAAGCAGGCTCGTATTCAAAATACGCTTCTGTATGAGATAGGCTTTAATACAAGACGCTACGGTGCTTCCTATGGGTTGTAAGCGTTGTGAACATTACATGCCTGTACACGAGTTCAAGACTCACATATTCTGTATACATTAAGACATGTATAGATAACGAGGAAGTAAATCTAACGTTTTAACGGATGACATTTCTTCGTTATAGTAAGATCCGTTTAGGCCGTATGGCTTCATATATGTTGTGTTTGGATACCGGCGGAATACTGCCGGATCGTTAACATATCTTCTCGTTAACCTATGAATTTTGGACAATCGTTAAATTTGCGACTCGTTATAATAACGTGGCCTGGCACGAGGAAAACATGGATGCAGTGAATGGGATTTTCGGTCTTTGACCACTTGCTGGTGAGCTGATCTACTCACCTCCCACCGCTTTAGGAGCTGCATCTGCGCCTTGATCCTTGAAGGGTGGTGGCGTTCCTACGGATGCGGAAAACCCGGCTTCCAGCCGAGTCTCACGCGAACCGTGAATTTTTTTTTTTTTCAATTTATAAAAACATGTCTTACAGTATGCTTGCCTGCTCGTTGTCTTCTTCTTTTTTTGTCTTTTTGTCTTTTTGTCCTGCAGGCAAGAATCCAATGAGTATATTTCTAGCGGTGTGCTGAACGGTTTCTTCGTGCTCGGTCGTACGATGGGATTTATCGGTTAGTGTGGCAGAGTGTTGTTGTTGTTGTTGTTGTTGTTGTTGTTGTTGTTGTTGTTGTTGTTGTTGTTGTTGTTGTTGTTGTTGTTGTTGTTGTTGTTGTTGTTGTTGTTGTTGTTGTTGTTGTTGTTGTTGTTGTTGTTGTCATCATCGTTGTTGTTGTTTTCTTGGCTCTGTCTCACTGCTCTGCTTAAGCACTGTCGCTGTTGCTGATCGCTGCAGCGTTCACAACAGGTTTAGCACCCATGAGCATCTCGCTTGAGGGTGCCTGCCTCGTAGAGCAGTCCGTCTCTTTCATGTCTATTGATAACTGCCACGTTTCCAAAACTCTTCCCTCCTTTCTCCCCTTGGTGTGTCCTGGTGTGTCTCTGCAGGTCACTATCTGGATCAGAAGCGCTTAAAGCAGGGTCTATACCGTCACCCCTGGGACGATATCTCCTACATCAACCCGCGCGACCTGGACAGACACTGACTCTAAATCGCCTGCCTGGTCCTCAGCTGGCGGTGGCCGTCGGCGACTTCACTAGTGTTGGGTCGTCACGGTTACCCGCTGACTGTCGGTGCCACGTGCCACTACTTCCCTGTCGCCCTCCGCTTAGGTAGCCCCCTCTAACCCAGACACTCTGAATGCGTGTAAGTTATTTTGTAGCATCCGGAATATTCTACGACGACCACCCCCGTGCCGCAGATAGCCATAGCGCTAGTAGGCTTGACCCTAGAAAGCTAGTCATAACGCCAAAGCCACCGTAGTAGATAACGTCCTACCTGTCCTCATCCTACTTTCGCTGAGTGCGTCTGACATGAGTGCTGGGAGTCGCTCCCTCGACCTCCTCTGGGCATGACGCTGCTGCCCAGTAGTGGTCAATCTGATTGACTCAGGACCTCTCTCTCTCTCTCTCTGCCGCAATGTGCAGCTATTTGCATGGTGGTGTATTTAAATATTCTCCGTGTATCTCCCACCACCAGCACCCCCGACCGTGGAGGTGGTGGTGGTGGGTGCAATCTCACACGTTTGCACACGCTGCATAAACATACGCGCTCGCGTACGGACGGACGTGTGCGCGTACGAACGTAAGTGCGCGCGCATGCAAGATCACTTGTGTGCAGTCCCCCGTCGTCCTGTCCGTATCGTACCGCTTGCCGTGGGCACTCCGTGGCGCTGTTTGCACCGCCGTACTTCGTAATGTAGTCCTCCAGTCCACTCTGCCATGCTCTGATGGCGAAATGTATGACAAACTGGCTGCTATGTCCTACAACTACTTCTACTACTGCCCTCGTTCTGCTCGTAGCAGCAGCAGTGTAGTATAGATGCGATCAACAATGGCCCTGTGGCCATGCCCTACGCCCCCCCCCCCCCCACCCCTCCCCCCTCCCTCCCTGACTTCAACCAAGTTCGACCAGCAACATGTTTTATCTCTGCTCCCTGAGAAAAGCTCACAAAAATCTGGCCTGGATTGGGGATTTTTAGCTCTTTCGTATCATGATCCTTACTTCTGTATTCTTTCGTAGTGGCGAATTCCGGAAATCCCTCTCTCGCCCGGCTCCCTTATGTTTCAACTTTTATGTTGTGTGCTCTATGCTTTTACCCCTCCTTTGTTTTGAACAATATTTTATGTATTCTGCATTCCCTGGTTTACATTTCTGGATTATTTCCATAACTGGCGGGATTTCCTTCGGGCGAAGCTGCTCGTTATCGTGTATTTTTAAAATTCACACTCCGTGTTGATCTTGGTCTGTACAGTTGTGAGTGCACTAGTGTTACATTGGGCCAGGTTTAGCAACTCGTGAACGAGTATTAGTGTTACGTTTGGCCAGGTTTAGCCTCTTATGAACGAGCACCGGTGTTACGTTTGCCCAGGTGTAGCAACTCGTAAACAGGTATCTGTGTTACATTTGGCCAGGTTTAGCAACTCGTGAACGAATATTAGTGTAACATCAGATCTGGCCAGGTTTGGCAACTCGTAAACAGGTATCTGTGTTACATTTGGCCAGGTTTAGCAACATGTGATCGTGAACGACTGCATAACCAGTACAACTCTGGATGAAATTATGCTGAGCACATCAGAGTCCCCGGCCCGGGCCTGTAGTCAGTCGGCCTGAATCGCTTCGTGCAGCGTGCTACGCGTTTCTAAACCTCTCGCTCGCTTTGTCTCTGCCTTTCCCTCCCTCTCCCCGTCGCTGATGTAAATCATTTAAACATACCGTGTACCTACTGCAGGCCAGCATGGAAAGGGTTACCGTATTTCCCCGATTATAAGTCGCACCCCCATTTTCAGGTTTGAGCAATAATGTTGCGATATATTCACTTCAGTAGTAAGTCATGCTCCTTTGTAAAGCGGGATTCACAGAAGCTTTTTTGCGATGCGACACGCGATGCGACAGACGCGAAACCGGGAAAACCCCAACTCGCAGCCATGTCGCACCCCACGCAACTGCCGCAACTGGGCCATCGCAGAAGTTGAGCTTGGCTCAACTTTTGCGATGCGATGCGATGCGACAAGCGATTTGGTGTACGATTTTGACCTTTTCTACAGCAAAGTTGTACAAAGGTTCAAGAGTTGCCTATAAATTTGTACAAGTTGTGTCAAACCGCGCGAATATCATGGTGACGTACCCAAATCAGCAAAACTTTGTCGCATCGCTGACTTCTTCTGTGAATGGTATTTCGCGAGTTCGCATCGCACGCATCCATCGCAGATCGCGTCGCATCGCGTGTCGCATCGCAAAAAAGCTTCTGTGAATCCCGCTTAAGTCGCATCCCTTTTTTACCCTGAATTTTAGTGTAAAAAGGTGCGACTTATAAACGGGGCAGGCAGGCATAGTGGGATGGTCTAAGACCATGATTGAGAAACAGAGGGTACCAGGTTCAAGTCCTGCTTGGAAGCGGAAGGAATTTTTCCAGCCGTGCTGCGACCCACAGTTAATTGGGAACTCGTGGCCTGGCACGAGCCGAGGGTAACATGGATGCAGCTAATGGGATTTCGGTCTTTGACCACTTGGTGGTGGGTCTGATCTACTCACCTCCCACCGTTTAGGCGCTGCATCTGCGCCTTTGATCCTAGAGGGTGGTGGCGTTCCCACGGCGGATGCGGAAAACTCGGCTTTCAGCCGAGTCTCACGCGAACCGTGAAATTTATTTTTTATTTATAAACGGGGAAATACGGTAATACACGAGGGAGAGTAAGAAGCACGAACAGTCAGCTGCACAGACCCCGCAAGCATGAGCTGTACTATCATGCAGAAGTGCCTTGGCGATGGCAAATGACAACAAGGCTTGTGCATGTACCTGTCCCTCCAGGAACTTGCGATTCCGCGGCCGCGTTGTTTTCCGCGATTTGAACAAAAGTCCGTGATATCCGCGATATTTGAAAAATCATCCGCGTTATTGTAGAAAACTGTCCTTGATACTTGAAAAGCACCGCGATATTTCGAAAAGCAACCGCGATATTCGGGTCTTTCTTCGATGTTGTTTAGTTCTTCAAGCTCATCAGTAGTTTACTTGTGAGATCGACACCAGAATGGAGAAGTTTCTGGGCAAATCAGCGGCTGACAAGTCACAAAATAAGGCTCGCGTCGAGTGTTGTCCGAGGATGGAGGAAAGCTGTATTGCAGTTGAACACAGTCAGCGCAGCACACGTACGTTCTGTTTTGTCATGCATGATTTATGCTGTACGACTCGTACATCGTACACCACTACAGTACAAGTACCAAAATCGGCCGCAATTTCCGCAATTTTACCACAATAATCCCGCAATATTTGACAAAATCCGCAAAATTCCCCGCAATTTGTGGCATTTTACCTCGCGACTTTTTCCGCGATATTTCCGAAATGTCTCCGCAAGTTTCTGGAGGGACAGATGTACAACATTTCCGGCGTATACGCCGCACCCCCCCCCCCCCCTCCCCCCCGATTCTTACCACGAAATACATACTTCCATTCTATTATGAGCTCACAAAGAACGAAACAGCATGCTGTCCGCAGATTGAGTACTTCCATTCTATTTAAATTAAATCATCGAGGCTGTGCGCCCAACCTGCAATAGTGCTCAAATGCCCGGAATGGGCAGAGCGTCGTACGCAAGAGGTACACAAAAAAGGAAGTAAATAGGGCTGTTCTGAGTTACAAAAAAAACCCCAGCCCTATTTACTTCCTTTTGTGTACCTCTTGCGTATGCTGCTCATACTACGGAAAGCACGGTTCTCAGCATCTTGTAGATGCACTCTAGTGCGACAAAGGATAAGGTATGTGCAAACACGGCAAGAACGAAACAAAAGCATAGGCGGCGCCGTGACTAAAGAGCAAGGCAGGATAAGCAAAGCTAGCTAGCGACGAGGCAGCAATCAAAAAGAGCGAAACAAAAAGTAAAAAAAAACCCACACGTTACTTATAATTCGGGCAGGGGAAAGTCTGACATTGCGCGCACGCAAACACGTCCCGGCAACGTACAACTGTCGCTAATACCCTGCGATTTTGTCGCAAATTCCCTGCGATTTTGCCACACATTGTGCTGATATTGACCGCAAATTTCGAGCTTTTCTTCGCCGAGGACGGACAAGAGGACAACTAAGAGAAAAACAAGAAAACTAGAAATCATACCGGTAGTTGTAATCCCGGCAAGAACAAGTCTACTGACATCTCACACACACACACACACACACTTGACAGTAAAGCACAAAATGGCAAATAAATCATCGTGTTTCCACCGACGGTACGGATGAGAAGGAGACGGTCTGGGCGTTGCAGGTCACACCGTGGCAACAGTTCCTGCATGCTCTGCTGCGACATGATTAGGAGTTCTTCTTTGTCACCTTGATTGCCACCTGTGTGTGTGTGTGCGTGCACGCGTGTGTGTGTGTGCGTGTGTGTATGTGTATGTGTGTGTGTGTGTGTGCGCGTGTGTGTGTGCGTTTGTGCATGTGTCGGGCAATGGACAAACATCACACGTGAACAGACAAGCGCATGAGTGGAAAGGCAAGGAACAAACGAGCATGTGGGCAGTAGAAAACACTGATAGATGGACAGACGGATGAAGGAAACATGGGTGGGGGACAGACGAATGGAGGACAAACAGACAGATGATCAGAAGGACATGAAAGGCTACGAAGGAATAATAGTACATATGAAGACCACACGCAAGTCATGTTGTAACTACAGAACTTGAAGCAAAATGAACATGCATTGTGGATGCTCGGTCTCCAGCCAGCTACTACTACTCCGTGTGGTGTAGACCTTGGTAGGTCTCCTCACTAGAGCTCAGAGTGACAGAGTCACTAGCCAAACCAGTGGATACAGTGCATAGGAATACTGTGAGGGGACGTCCGTCCATAATCATTGATCTTTTACACGAAGAGAAAAAAAGTTTCATTTATGGCTGGGTGGGTGGGTCAAAGGGAGTTTCGTTTAGAAAAAATATTGATATGAGAGACATCAAGGTATTCTTGCTGTCAAGTCAATCTATTTTTCGTTCAGGGGGGGGGGGGGGAAGGTCCTAACTAAACGTTTTTCCTAAATTATCGATAATGCCGGACAGCCCCTAAGTCAACAAATACTCGGCGCATATTTTAAATTTTATTTTTGCCTATTTTCGGCCTGGGTATTTTTGGCCGCAAATTTGTACCGGCCGGATTTTCGTTTTGCAAGGTCCAGTACAGTCCAGTGTGACAGTATTGCAGTGTATACGGGCAGCAGTAGCACAGGCCAAAATTTAAAAGTTAAAACGTGTTTCGGCCCCGGAGGCCGAAATTCAAAAGGCGCCAAAACTGCGTAGACTTACAGTAGCTCAGTACAGTGCTCAGCTAGCAGGCGCGTGCACCCGTATGGGTTCCTGGGTGCCCGGAGCCCCCTTTTTTCCCCTAAAAATGCAGGATTTTGCTTCATTTTTTGAAATTATTCCCGGGGAGGCCCCCTGGAGCCTTGAAGGGCACCAGTGCATGCGCCTGGGTAGTGCCGAAGAACGCTGGCAGAACACCTAGCATCATGACCAGAGGTTTTAGATCATTACGCCAAGTTAGGACTACATTTTGCAATGGGGTTTGTATAGAGATAGCGCCGAGAACAGGAGTCTGGGTTGGAGTCTACGGCTTCGCGTGTTTTGGGTCCAGATTTATACGCGTAGATGAGGTTCTCTACGCTGTGGCACATGCAAAGATGCTGTGATCATCCAAATGAGTCAGAAAACTCCCAGACTTGGAAAGGGAAATTCCTGGTACAATGTACACATTCCATGTGATTTCTCTATGTGAACATAGAGCAGAACCGGTTCCCTTCACGTTACAGGATCGCGAAGAGTGTTCCGGGATTCTTCGCGTCACGTTCCCATGTCATTTAGCGGATTATTGCCATTATGACATGATGTCATTATGATGTCATTATTTTTGATAATTATCTCATCATTATGTCATAATGATGTTATGATGGTTTGGCACTTGGTAGCTGTGACTGAGCTGTCACACTTACCGTCTTGATTTCAGAGTACTGCTGAAGTCCGTACTCGCCACTGCAGTAAGCGCATAGTAACATACACATACACACACACACATACACCCACACACACACATACAATTATACACATACACGTAATATTATACACATTCACACACGCACATACACATACCCACATATACACGTACACACATACACACAAACACACAAACACATGCATACATATGTGCACATAAGTATTCACGTATGCACATACACACACACACACACACACACACACACACAACACACGCACAGCTCAGTGGTAGATCATCGCTGGCCATTAGCAAGGGTCCCTGATTCGAGTCCTAGAAGGCGAAAGTCAATTCACTTCAGACTTCCCGTTTTCAACTCACCCCGATTGCATGTCAAGAGGTTTTAAACTGTTTTTTAGTGTCTAACGCAAGATGGTTGACACTAGGAGATTATGGACATTCTGGCAAGAATCCATGAACTGTGTCTTGCACGGCCACCATGAACTGCGTCTTGCACGGCCACCATGAACTGCATCTTGCACGGCCACCATGAACTGCGTCTGGCATGGCCACCATGAACTGCGTCTGGCACGGCCACCATGAACTGCGTCTTGCACGGCCACCATGAACTGCGTCTGGCATGGCCACCATGAACTGCGTCTGGCACGGCCACCATGAACTGCGTCTTGCACGGCCACCATGAACTGCGTCTTGCACGGCCACCATGACCTGCGTCTGGCACGGCCACCATGAACTGCATCTTGCACGGCCACCATGAACTGCGTCTTGCACGGCCACCATGACCTGCGTCTGGCACGGCCACCATGAACTGCTGGTTGCACGGCCACTTGACTGGTTAGTGCAGGACTTAGTGTGCACACACTGCCGTCATCAAAGGTACACGTAAATAGGAAAATATATAAATGAACTTCACGGTTCACGTGAGACTTGGCTGGAAGCCGAGTTTTCCGCATCCGTAGGAAAACAGGACACAGGACCTCAAGACTTGCCAAAGACTTTCCACTTTTGCTACTTTACTTCGCTAGGTATTCACTTGTTCTGGGCCACTGTGTAATTCGTATCTCTTGAGTTATCTTCTTTCTTTCTTCTTTCTTATACATATATGTCTACTTCTTTTTTGTTGTTGATTTGGCCGTGGTTGGCTATCACCCCCCCCCCCCCCCCCTCTCATTCAATATTGGCATTGCTTGCCACGAGATGATGATGCAATAATAATAATTATAATAATAAGGCCACCACCCTCTAGGATCAAGGCGAAGGTGCACCTCCTAAGCGGTTATGCCATGACACCGTACATGTCAGCAAGGTACCATAACTTTCTAGAGTATAAACCACAGCCCCCCCCCCCCCCATTCTTTGCCAGGAAATACAGACATCTATTCTATTTATCACCGTTAATGGGATCATCGGAGTACGAGCCGCACTCCCTTTTTGCGGGTGACTTTTTACGTTGAGAAAAAGTAGCGACGACCCGGCCATTATGGAATCCAATACACCACACCACCACATTGCGCTCTTGGCCGATCCAAACTCTGCACTAACATCGCCACCACCACAGCGAGGACAATTCCGGTGTATAGATTGATATTGACAATGCCCCTCCAGACAGCTGCTTCGCTCCTCCTTTTTACGTGTTCAAAGTGCGGCTTACTCTGGAGGATACGGTAATGTGTGTGCGGTGGGAGAGGAAATGGGTAACACCGTTTACACCAAGTACTCACAGCTCACGGCCCACGCCAGACATTTTGAAGCCGCCGAACGGAGCAGACGGTCGCAGCACATTGTACGAGTTGACCCTGACAACATACACACACACACATCGCGGAAGCGATGACAGCGAACATGATATGTTAGACATAGCAACTTGTGCTGGGATTGCACCATTCAACAGCACTGAACGGACAAGCCCACACAAACACACACACACACACACACACACACACACACACACACACACATGCGCAGGCAATGTAAGAGAATGTGAGTTGCAATCCACTTCACTAGGAAAACTCTCTCTCTCTCCCTCTCTCCGTTCTTTCAGGAGACTGTGAATTGCAATCCACTTCCTACCACAGTAGGGTAACACCTGTGTAAGACGACCGCTCAAGGAACCTTCACAGTGTGGTCTCTGTTACCAGGTGGTCTCCTTATCCAGGGTCATTTGGAAATAGCATCCCTTGGTCCTTGTTGCAGATGTCGTCTGGGACAGGTGGTCGCCTTTTCCGAGTGGTCGCCTTGACAGGTTTTACTGTATTAGGAAAACGCTCTCTCTCCCTCTCTCCTTTCTTTAGCACTGACTCACCACATACTGCCGGCGCGAAGGGCATGGGCGACACGCAGAGCCCTGTCGATATCCTTGGTGAAGACGGACGCAGCCAATCCATACACGGTGTTGTTGGCCCGGTCGATCACCTCCTCGACGGTCTTGAACTTCATGATCTGCATCACTGGACCGAAGATCTACCGCGCGTGTGTACAGAAGGGTGTGCGTGTACGTACATGTAGATGCACAGGCAATCACGCACACACACACACACACGCACACACGCACGCACACACGCGCGCGCGCACGCGCGCACACACACACATCACCACCACCACCACGCACACATACGAGGATGCACAGGACAGAACGACAAACCTGTCAGGACCTCATGTTTCAGGCGTGGTTGACTCAGACTGCAAAGATCCTCAGAGCCCCAGCTTCCAGCATCCATTGCAGGGATGGTACCAACACAAATATGGGTGGTACAGAGGTCCCTTTGCAATCCGGCAACATTTGTGCTGAGGAAAATTCTGCTGGATTAGGAAGAGTGCTGGATTCAAATCTGATTGATTGCTGCAATGTGCATGAAAAGGGCATATTGGTTGCTGAAAATAATGCTGGTTTATAGATGGTGCTGGTGTATAAAGTGCTGGATTACAGAGGGACCATCTATTGCTTTTGGAATCCTACCCTCTCTGGAGTAAGGACACCTTCCGTTCAATCTCACCTCACTGATATGCGTGTTCGTTGTCGTGACAACTCACAACCACCAAGAGAACGTACCATGCACCCGCACACTCCCACACACTCCCCCCCCCCCCCCCCCCCATCCCCCCACACCCCCTCCCACACACACATGAGCTACAGAACGCTCCCCTCTCACCTCTTCCTTAGCAATTCTCATATCATCTTCGACACCGGAGAAGACAGTTGGTTGAACGAAGAAACCCTTGTCTCCATGACGCTCGCCACCACATTCCAACTTAGCACCCTCCTTCTTTCCAGAGTCGATCAAGTCCAAAATCTTTGTCAATTGCTCTTGATCCACCTGTACCAATTGTCCACCATAGGCACACCATAGACACACCACAGCACCGCCATATAGCAGCTACACCTCAGCAATACCCTAGCAACACCTTAGCAACACCATGCGAACACCATAGCAACACCATAGCGATACCTTAGCAATACCATTCGAACACCATATAAAAAATTAAAATAAAGTGAATTATCGTGTCCGTTCCCGAAGGTAACTCACGACGGCCGCTAACACCCGGTAAACCCTAGCGGCAGATGCAGCGCCTAACGGTGGGGGTGAGTGGATAAGTCTCACAACCACTGGCACAAGTGCCGAGAACGACCCCATTAGCTGCATCCATGTACCCCTTGCGCCTGGCGACAAGTTCCCAGTTGTCTGTGGGTAGCAGCACGGCTGGAAAACCGCTCTCAGGCAGGACTTGAACCAGGTACCTTTCGTATTTCAATCATGGTCTTTGACCAACCCACTGTGCCCGCCTGGCTGCGAACACCATAATTATTATCATGCAGAAAGAGCCAGTGGATAGAAAAAGGAACAAAAGACATTCACAGGTGTTGACAAGCAGAATTCGTTTTAAAGCATTTCACCTCGCTACTAACCGAAACAAATCCAGAGATCGGTAACTATAAACGACGTTAACATCACTGTGATCTTACACTTACAGGGACGTCGGAACCGGTGCGGCAAGTCCGGCCAAAGCCGCACCAGTAATTTCATCCTGTGATTCTACGGCAATGAAACATGGGCTATTTGGGCCTAATTTCCCTAACATTTTCCCGGTGTGTGTGTGTGGGGGGGGGGGGGGGGGGGGGAACCCCGGACCCCCACCTACTCATGCGGCCGCACCAATGTCCAGGACCTTCCGACGCCCTGCACTACATAAAAAAGCACTACTGAAGTGCTTTGCTAGCTAGCGTACTCTTACCTGCGGACCCTGCTCAACGTCGTCAGCCATCGGATCTCCGACCTTTCGCTTGCGGGCGCGCTCCACCGAGCGTCGCACAAACTCGTCGTAGATGCTCTCCTCGACGAACACGCGCGATCCAGCGCAGCAACACTGTCCTTGGTTGAAGAAGAGTGCAAAGTGGGACATCTCCACCGCGTAGTCCACTGTCCACCGTTACAAGAAAAAGAGAAAATAAATTCAGGAAATAAATCAGACATTAACTAGTTGAGGGAAATGGAAAACGGGAAAAGTCTGAAGAAAAATTTGACTGTCATCACCAGGATTCCAAACAGGAACCTTGGCTTGAGGCAAGCGATGCTCTAACCACTGAGCTATGGTGTAGTTGTCATCCCAGCAGAAACCGGTCGACATTTTCTTCAGACTTCGTAACTCACACGTCCTGTGAATCCACACAGGCGGTTGGGATGCAGCCCTCACTGTAACCCCGACCTGCTTTCAAACAAGAAATCTGCTCACTGCTGATTAACTCAATCTGCTCCTGCAGCGCTCACCCTCTCCCATACTTGTAAAATTCAAAGTGATGTAAATCACTTTCCAACTGCATAACCCACAATCTCACCTTCTCATAAATTTATCTTTTATTGGCGATGGTGCCATCGTGAGAGTAAAGAATTCAAACAAACCCACACACTTCATGTACAAACTAGGACGCGGGGAGCCCCACATCAAAAATATTCACTGATTTGAGGGCTTTATAATCGAATATACTGCCATGGCTTTAAATGTGCCTATATACGGTGATTATCTTCGTTCTGTACTTGCCGTGCATATCCCAATGAACAGCAGTGTCCGCCGCCGTCTGACTAATCTGCGGCACGGTGACTTGAAGCATGCAGTATTGTGT